CTCACAGAAGACTGTTGTTTGTTTTTTTTAAACAGATGCATGTAAGTTATGTAACCAGACCCTGCTAAATGAACTTTATCTTGCAGTGTTTCTGTATATAGTATAGAGACACTATCATATCTCTATATAATATCATATCTCTATATTATATAGCATCCTAGAATTAGACAACAATATAATATCCTCGCATTAGAATTGCTTTGCCAAGGGTATGCACATTTAAATATTTGAAATGTTGTCAATTTGCTCTCCGGAAAGATGATCCCAGAGAAAACACAAAGAGCATTCTGTGAGGGCTGACCGATATTGAAAACACGCTTCGAGCCATATCCCGAATTCTATACCACTCCACAACTCCCTCCAAAACCCCAGACCTGTACATTCGTCTTGAACTTGACACCTAGCCTTGAGTGTTTGAAGACCCTTCAAACCTAATGTGTCCAAAACGGAGTGCCTGCCCTCCACCGCCTCCGCCATTTCCGTTTCCGGAACTCCGCCCTCCCGTGGCCCAGGCCAAAAGCTTGACGTCACCCTTGACTCCTCTTTCTCTCACAGCCCCCACCTGTGGGCTCTGTCATCAAAATGCATCCAGACTCCTACCAGTTCTCATGACCTTCAGCCTCCCTCTGAGGTCTGAGCCACCATCCACACTCACCTGCATCGCTGTAGGTACCTCTTCAGGGGGCTCCCTGCTTCAGCCCTGTCCCTCCTTACACTTCTCCTTCCAGAAGCCAAAGTGGTTCTTTTCTTTTCTTTTTAAATATATTTGATTGATTTCTTTACAGAGAAGAAGAGAGAGGGATAGAGAGTTAGAAACATCGATGAGAGTCATCGATCAGCTGCCTCTTGCACACCCCCTACTGGGGATGTGCCCGCAACCAAGGTACATGCCCTTGACCGGAATCAAACCCGGGACCTTTCAGTCCATAGGCTGATGTTCTATCCACTGAGCCAAACCAGTTTCGGCAAAGTGGTTCTTTTAGAACAAGTCAGCGTGTCCCTCCACAGCGTGAGGGACTGCTTCCCATTCTCCCCCAAGTACAAGTGGACGCCCTTGGAAGGCCCAACAGGACCTGGGCCCCATTACCTTTCTATCCTCCCCCAGGATCCTCCTTCCTCCTCTCTCTGCTCCAGCCACAGGGTCTCCTTGCCAGTCCTCCAACCACCACACCCTCTGCCTCAGGGTCTTGGCAGTGCCCTGAATCCTCTACCACGGAGGCCTCCGAATGGCCCACTCTCTCACCTCCTTCATGTCTTTGCTCAAATGTCACTTTCCCCAGCCTGGCCAACCGATTTGAATGTTAACCCTCTCCCATTCTTGAATCCCCTTACTCTTTAATTGGTCCTTATACCCAACGTACTAAACAACTTACTTCTTTTGTTTCTTACAGTGTCTCTTCTTTCCATCGGAATATAAGCTCCATGAGGCGGGGGTTTGGGTATATATTTTTACTGATGATTCCCACGCCTCTAGGACAGTGCTTGGTTCAGAGCAGGCGCTCAATAAATAGTTGTTGACTAAGTTAAAGAACAGAATAGTCTTCAAACTGGAGTTTCAGTTCTTCTTCAGTTTGCTCATTCCTCAAGTGTGCCATTTCCCTCAGAAGAGGATCTGAGGGCCACATCCCTGACTGTTCCCCCACATCGAGCACTGGACTCAGCCTGTGGAGTGGGGCAGGGTGGGAGTGAGAGTTGGAACTTAGTCCACAGTGAAATAAACATCACAGTTACACCCCTGGCTGGTGTGGCTCGGTTGGCTGGAGTATCATCCTGTAGGGTTGTGGGTTCAATTCCCAGTCAGGGCACATACCTAGGTTGCACGTTTGATCTCTGGTCAGGGTACATATGGGAGGCAACTGATCAATGATTCTTGCTCACACTGATGTGTCTCTTCCCCCCTCCCCCCTTTCTTTTCTTCTCTCTAAAACCAACAAGCATGTCCTCTGGTGAGGATTGAAAAAAATCACAGTTACATTTACAAATGAATATGCAATCAGATCCCTCAAATATGATTATAGAAAAGTGACTCCAAATTGTCCCGTACTGACCTGAGATTACCCACAGGCCCAGAAGCCTGGTGGTCTGGCGTGGCATCTGTCCTTGCACCGTCAGAGTCTCTTCCTGACGATCTGAGCGCGCTCACTTCGCCACAGCTACTTTCTCGGGAGAGGCAGCCTTCACCTTTCCTCCCGAAGCATCCAGACTGGGGTCCGGAATCCTCTGGAGGGAGCTCAGACGGGGCGGTCCAGCCTTCCCATGCATCGGGCTCACTCTTGGGCCAAGAGGAGGCTGGGAAGAGGACAGCCGTGGGGAGAGGGGATTCCTGTCCATGTCTGTCCAGCAGGCATGTATTCATACCAGGACTCAACGTCTGTTACTTTAGCTGCTTCCGACTGCAGAACTGCAAGGTGTGATGGGCCTTGCTCAGAGTCTCAGAGCAGGAGACAGCAGAGCCAAGGTTGAAACAGCCCCACTTCCCCCATGCCCTGGTTCTGGGGCCCCAAAGACAAGGAGGGGACAGAGTGGACTTCCCCCACCTCCCTAGCGTGTCTAGGTTTGTTTGGGGGAGGGGGGGGGCATTGGGCAGGGCCAGCCCTAAGGACACGGGGAGCCTGACCATCCTGAGAGTTGGCATTCAAAAGCGGCGAGGGGCCAAGGGAAGCGACTTGAGGCAGTCAATGGCCCAAACACGCGGTTTCACCTGTCCTATCTTCCCAGAGCCTCCTACCCCAAACCCACCTCACACACACCCCAAAGACAGGCTGGGCAGCTGGGAGGTGGGGAGATGCCTGCAGACTCTGCCATTAGGCAACTAGGCTTGGGGCAGGCATGACCTCTCTGTGCACTGGGCTGAGCCCGCTGACTCACCGGGATCTCAGGCATCTTGTACAGGTAACTGAGACCTGGGATCTGGCAAGAGGGAGAGGTGAAAGGGGTGTGTGTGTGTGTGTGTGTGTGTGTTGGATCATTTAGGCACCTGGTGAGTTTAGCTGAGGGAGCAGAATCCAGCAGCTTTGTGGCTGGGTTCAAAGCCTCTTGCTGGGCCCTCTAGTCCCTCCACACACACAGGCACGGGCATAACCACCACACACGCTTTCCACAGCAGACTCAAGCAGTCTGTAGGAGAGAAAGGGGCAGGCAGACAGGGGAGGTGAGGGGGAGTGCTGGAGTGTGGGCTGAACCCTCAGAGCAGCAGCGGGGTGTGCCCAGCCCTCTCCTGGTTGCATGTGCCAACTCGGAGCCAGCCACGCCTATCTTGCCCAACCACGCTGGCCAGGAAGGGGCTTAGCTCCTCTGTCTGGGCCAGAGGCCAAAAGAGGGCCTATGTGAGGGGGTGTGTGCAAAGGAAGAAGGGGCCTGCCTGCAGCCCTCACCAGGGGCATCTGGGGCAAAGGGAGAGGTGCCAGTCCCAGGTCACGCCCTGTTTTGGGGAGGTGATGTGAAAAAAGAGGAATGATGCTTCAGATGAAGGCAAGCCAACTGCTGGTGTCAGAGTGTCACTGGGTCTTTGCCAGGGAAGAGGAGCAGGGCTGAGGAGGCCTGGTTTGCTGAATAAGAGGGACTTGCTCCTCACCCCCACCCCCAGGACATCAGAGGTACCTCAAGGAGGCCCCTAGAGGCGGGAGGCCCCAGAGGGCAGGCCTACAAGGGTGCATCTTGACTTAGGTGGGAGAGGAGAGGTGAGCGCAGAGAAAGGACCTTCCCTCATCGTCCCCACCCCCAGGCCGGGCTCCAAAGTGAGGCCCGAGCAGAAGGGAAACCCAGGAGGCTCTGCCAGGCTGTCAGGCTGCCAGGAGGGGTGGAGGACAGGACAGCCACAGTGAACGCAGGGAAAGGGCTTGAGGGAGGTCTGTGAGGGAGGGGCTCTCCAAAGTCCTGAAATCCCCACCCATTCCCGACCCTCAAAACCAAGAGACAAGGCCGCCCCGCTGGCTGTGCTGGGAAGAAGGGGCCCCACTGGCTTCAGCCAGACTCTCCCACTGGCTTAGCGGCCCAGGAGGGCCTGCACCCCTCATCCTGGGAGGCCCTCTGGGGCTCTCCCACATTTAGCCCAGCTCTCCCAAGGGACCCTCCCAAAGGGTGGTAGGTAGCAGGATCCCCAGACTGTCCCTGGGGGTTCTCTAAGGACCCTTAGAGAGGCTGTCTGGGTTCAAGAATTGAAGGTGGGTGTGTGGGGTCCACAGACAGCCCCTGGGAGGCCATCCACAGCATGGAGCCGGGAATATCAGCGGCCCAGGCTCTGCACCTGCCAGCCACTCTGCTGCACAGATCGCCCAGGGGTTTGGGGTGTCCCAGGTGAGCTCCCTGCCCTCCCTTGCAGTGAGCTCCCCGCCCCCGCCCCACACCACCCCCACCAAAGGCGCTCCTGGGGTTAGAAACTTCCCAGCTGGCGGGGAGGGCACCCTCCTCCGGACAAAGCCCAGGAGCCCTCTCTCTGAGGGTCTCGGAACCCATGTCCCCCGTTTTGCAGCAGGGAAAGCAGAGCCGCGGGGAGACGCCTGGACGCGGAGCTCCCTCTCCACAGTCCGGCTGGGCGTCGGACGGGACGGAAAGGACAGGACGCCGTCCCTTCCCGAGGGTGACGCCAGGCTCCCGGAGCATCACCGCAGCCCGGGGAGGCGCCCGCGGGCAGGGCGTAGGGCCGGCCGCCCTGGGTAATGACAGGGCCGGCCCTGTGGGTGGCGGCGGCGGAGGAAGCGGGCGGGAGCCGGCTATTTCTGGCCGGGGCGCGTCCACCCTTCAGCGGCCAGGGCTAGGCGGGCTTCCCGGCCCGGCCCCGGCCCTCCCTCCGGCTCCCGGGATGGGGCGGGCAGAGGCGCGGGTTGGTGGACCGGAGGGGCGGGGGCACGGGCGGGCCGGCGGGGGCGGGGCGCAGTCCAGGGCCCACCCCCCGGCCTCCTCCCACCGCACTCCCCGCGCGTCCCCACCGCGATCGGCTCGGACCCAAGGCCGCCGGAGCGCCCCACTCCCGCCCCCCGCCCCGCGGCGCCGCGCCGGGCATGGACTCGGGCCGGGACTTCCTGACGCTGCACGGTGAGTGCCCGGCCGGCGCTGGGGAGTCCCCGCGGGGGTCCGCCCCGCAGCGAGTCGCCCCGGCTCCGGGGAGGGAGACCCCGGGCTCCTCCCAGCACCCTCCGTCCCGTCCTGCCCGCCCCTCGGCCCCCCCCTGGCCCCGGCGGGGAAATCTCGGCCCGGAACTTAGGGTGGGACCGCCAGGCTGGACCCTGGGCGTTTCCAGTTCAGTCCCCCCCAGATACAAACCGAGGTGGGGAGGGGGCGGGGAGGGGTGCGGGTCTGAAGACTTCTATGGAGACTTTTCCCGGGTCCCCCAGCCTGAGGACTTCCCCCCCCCCCCTCCTTCTGGGCACGGGAGGCGGGGCTCCGTGGTCCAGTGCGCACGGAGGGGCCGGGGAGGGAAGGAACCGGCATCCACGCAGAACCGAGTTCTTCCCGCCCGGTCCGGGCGCCCGGAGGAGCTCCGCACAAAGCCCCGGCTGCCGGATCGCTCCGGCCGTGTGGGTGTGGCGGGGTGGTGTGGTGGGGGGAGAGGTGGGCCGGGGAGGTGTGCCAGGCTGGCCGAGGTCGGGCCGTGCCGCCGTAACTGCCCCGCGCAGAGCTCAGCCCGCGATGCACAGGCTGGGGGCGCGGGTGGGGTGGGGGCAGCCTCATTCCTCCATCGGCGCATCCTTCCTGGCGGGACGGGGCCAAGTCTCAGCTGCCAACGCCTGAGCCTCCACCGTGGGTCCGGCCGAACGGAGTCTGAGCCAGCTCCTGGCCCTAACGCGGTCCCTCCTGCAGGGAGAGCAGCCGCGGGCTCCCGACCCCCTTCTCCCCCCCCGGACCTGGAGGCCTTATGGCTGGACGGGCCCCCCAACCTGGCCCTGGCATCTGTTTGCTCCAGCCTGGGGGCTCGCCTGCACCTGGGGAGCTTACCCTCTTGTCCCCACCCCCAACTCCACCGTCAGTCCGCTCGGCAAGCCCCGCCCCTCTCACGCCAATCACTGCTTACCCATACCTCCTTCAGTCTCCTAGCACCCTTAAGGTTAGAGGCTTCTGTCCACCACCCATCCTTCTAAACCAGACCTGGAGGTGATCGTTGGGAAGGAGAAAGGCAGAGGCCCCCCTGTGTCCCTCAGCTGTCTGACTCGGATATGTTCTTCTCAGCCTGTCCCAGCCTGTCTCCTTTCCCAGTTGGCCAGACCTAGCCCCTGCGGCCCAGAGAGACCTGGCTCCATGCCCAGAGCTGTTACCCTCATTCCAGTGGGCCAGGCTCCTCCAGGCAACCTCGTGCCACGGAATCCCTACCTTCCAGTGCCCCCTCTTCTATCCTCAGGCCAGAGGTGCCCCATTGCCCCTGCCAGCCTGGCAGGAAGGGAGACTGGCAGCTCAGAGGACTGCCCTGGGGACTCTGCTTTCTCTCTCACCATCCCCTCGCTAGTCTAGTGCTGTCTTCCCGGCACGCTGCCACCTCTCACACACCTGCCTGCCTCACACGCAGACGCCCTAAAAGCCCTCGGTCGCCTCTGGCACGGCTGCCGCCTCAACCTGCATCGGAATGGGCTCCACCTCAGGCGTCTGCACCTTTGTCCAGCCTCTCTCCCCAGGCAGCCCCCGTGTCTCCCGTGGAGAGGGGGCTGCCTGCAAGCTCAGCCAGGGCCTCCCAGGCCTGTGGCATGGGCTTGGCCGCCTTGGCCCATCCTGTTTGAGACCCGCCTCCCTGGACATGACATGTCCCTTCCGCCCTCAGCCCCGGATACATGCAGAGGCAGTGTATGTGGTAGACCTGCATGAATTCTGGGCAAACTGCTTGGCTTTTTCATCAAGACAAATCCCTTGATTGAATTGTGTCTCATCTGTAAAATAGGGGCTAAGAATACGACCTGCCTCACAGGGCTGCTGTGAGGATTGGACGAGATGATACCCATCAGGCAATTAGAACAGAGCCTGGGACCCAGCCTGTGCCATGTTCCCCCAAGGGGCCATGCCCTGTGAGTTGCTGCCTAGTTCTTGGGGAGATGAGGGTACGCCATAAGGCAATCCCTAGCCAGAAAAAAAAAAAAAAAAAAAAGTGACTAGACCTGGGTTCAAGAATCAAGGGGCTCCTTCCCAAGCTGAAGCCCACTGGCTGAAGTTCCAGGCTCCCATGTCCTCCTCACTCACTTCCTCCGCTCTCTCCATGTGGCCGGGAGGCACTGGCTTCTCGAGCAGGTTCCAGGTGTGCCAAGAGGATATAACCTCCCAGGGCCTTGTCCTCACTGAGCACACTAACTTTTCCTACACCGGATCTTCCCTCCCTGCTGTAACAACTGGCATCTGTAAAAGTGGACGCAGGGGCCCTGGTTGGAGTGCTGTCCCACACACCTAAAGGTTGTGGGTTTGATTCCTGGTCAGGGCACACACCTAGGTTGCGGGTTCGATCCCTGGTTGGGGTGTGTACAAGAGGCAACAGGTCAATGTTTCTCTCTCAAATTGATGTCTTTCTCTCTCTTCCTCTCTCTCCATTTTTCTCTCTCTAAAATCAATAAAAACATATCCTTTTTTTTTTTTTAATGGTTAGGATTAAAAATTTTTAAAAGGGTAAGGCAGGCTTTATAGGAAGACCCTGGCTTCATCTTGGCCTCCGGAGACCTGGGCTCCAGTCCTAGCTTTGCCTTCTATCATGACCCTGGGCAAACCCATTTGCCTCTCTGGGCCTGTTTCCTCGCCCACAGGATCGCAATACCCATCTCCCAGGTGTGACGATAAAGGCACTCACGGGCGTGGGAGCTCTGGGTCGGCTAAAAAGCCACTGTGCCCAAGAGAAAATGGTTCCAGAACCAGCCTAGCAAGTCGGGGTGGCCAACCCCCTCTCCACCTCCGTTACGGTTTACGGTTCTGTTCCTGGGATCCCAGGGGCCCGCACTCCACGGACACACACGGGTCCACGCTGAGCAGCGCCTTTGCTGTGCCACGGGCCACTTTGGCAGGCAGTGAAGCCTGCAGGCCCTTCTCGGGATCTTGTTTTTAAACGTACAATCAAAGGCGCCATTCAAAAGGAGCAAATTACACCGAGATGCGATCCCATCACTGTCCTCTGGTTAACAACCCTCGCATGGTTTCTCTCAAACAGAGGCTCCCCTCACACTCTGCTCCCCGCCCCTTTCCAAAATGAGTAACAGCTCGCCTGCGCCCCTATTGAAGCTCGTCTGCACTGACTCGTGACTGACTCTGTGGAGTGACTGTATGCAGGTTGCCTGCTGCTCCAGTTTATCGTGGCTATGCTTGCCTGTGTGAGCTACTAGGTGGCTTTGCCGGTGACTCACGGCCAGTGCCAGGGACTGGAGCTGAAGTGAAGCGAACTATTCAGAGGCAGGGAGCGCGAGAGGAGTGAGTCAGGCCTCCGGGGCGGTGTCCTGACCTTGGCACACAGTAGGGGCTCAATACATAACTTGCTTGGTGAGTGACGGAGAAGCTGCACCTTCGTGAAAGGCCCCTCAGTTCCCCTGCACACAGGCAGCGCGGTGTGTATACCGTGGCAGTGGTCCCCGTGTATTTATCAAAGTAAGCCTGTGTTCGTGGGCTCATTTAAGATCAGCATTTTTTTTTTCCTCCCCAAGAATTCCTTTCGCATTCCGAACCTCGGAGGTTACCCACTCAGGTGGGGAAACAGAAGGAGGCAGACCTGCCTGAGGTCCACAAGTGAGGCGACAGCCAGCTGAGTCACAATGAATTCATTGAGTGATTTTGGTAAAACATTTGGCTGGCTAGGTTGTCTGGCACAGCCTCCGTGCCTAGTTCACCGCTGGACTGCACGCTGCTCCTCAGCCTCCTCCTCCTCCTCCTCCTCCTCCTCCCCCCCCCTCCCCCAGGGACCCCAATGGTGTTGGGAAGCCAGGCTCATGCTCCACCCCCGGGCCGGACCCCGCCCCTCTGCGGAACACCGCCTTCCAGGGAGGACCCCGCTTCCCGGGTCTCCTCCCCCGCCCCTCCCCCCCCCCCCCCCCCCCCCCCCCCGCGCTGGGTCCCGGGTCAGCTTTCTGGGTGTATAGCTCAGCCTCCACATCGCCCACCCCTCCCTCCCAGCTCGGCTCCTCCCCGTCCCCGCCTCTCGGGCTCTGGCTGTGCCCCCCATCTGCTTTCTGGCCTCTGGTGTTCCTCATTGATCCGCTTCCTGGATTATGGATGGGTGCCCCTCCGGGGCGCCCCGCCCCCTGGGCTCTGGCTCCTCCTCTCCCCGCCTGGATCCCGCTCCGGCCCCACCTCCAGGGGCTATCGGCCCCGCCCCTTTCAGCCCAGATTTCCCTCTCGCCCCGCCCCTAGGGCTGAGGCTCCGCCCCTCCAACTGGTTTCTAGCCCCGCCTCCTCCTTGTTAGGCATCTGGAGGCCAGTGCATTGTCCGGGGCCAGGCTGGACGGGCGGCAGGGCCCACTGCGCTGCATCATGCAGTTTCTGCGGGGCCGGGGCCGGAGCCACTCCAGAGAGCTCTACCTGCAGGAGCAGAGCCTCAAGGTGGCGGCGCTCAATGGGCAGAGGCTGGGTAAGGGTCTCGGGGAACCCCGAGGTCTGTGGAGACTGGGATGGCAGCTGGGGCAGGAGGCGGCCTATATATATTCCTTTGATTGGACCTGTTGAGTATTCCTGCGAGTGTGTGACCTATTGTGGGGCTGTGTTTGCAGGGGTGGCACGTGGGGTGAGTCCTGGGGGCATTGGTTACCCCTCCACCTGACATACCCCCAGCTCCTCCGAGCCTCCCTGCTCCCTGCCATCCCTTCCTCCCACCCTCCCTTTTCATAGATTTATGAGGCACAACCGGATATGTGTCCTGGTGTGCAACTGGTATGACTGTAATCCTATGAGATGATCTGCAACCGTGTGGGGTCCAGTGTGATGCCGAGTGCACTGCGGGAGACAGACGTGACAGTGGGTGATCCAGGCGACTGAGTGATTCTATGACTTTGCATGAGGGTGGGTGTGTGTTTTGTGGACTTTCTGACATTACCACTGGTGACGGTGTACTCCTGCGTGGTGGCTGCATGGTGATGTTTCCTATCATGGACCCTGTGGGCAGGCTTCTGAGTCCCGACTCCACTGTGTAACTTCCCTGAGCCTCAATTTCCTCATCTGTGAAATGGGGACAGTGACAGCGGCTCCCTCATAGGGTTCTTAGGGAGGTTAAATACTTGCACTAAGAGCAGGGTCTTATTCAAAGACGAACCATTATTATGGTGGATGCTATCATTATCATGATGATAAGGCCCTGGTGTGTATGGTGTGTGGCTGTGTGTGGCTCCATGTAACCATGTACATCGCTGTGGGACTTTACCTCAGTATTGCTAATAATACCTCGGTATTATTATGAGTCCCAAGCCCAGTTTGTCTCCATGATGCACTCCCCTAGGTACATGGTCAGGGCTCCTGGCACCCCCCTCAGCCTCCTATTGGTGCTACAGCACCCTCCCCTGGGCACCTCGCTGTGTGTGGCAGGCCTGGGCGGGTTAGTGAGGTTGCGAGGTCAACCCAGGGCCCCTGAGCTCAGAGGCCTCTCCCCGCACCCTCCCACGGGAGAGGGCACTGGAGCTAAGTGAATGGGGCCGGGTGAGGAGTGCCCACACTTGCTGGGCGGTGGGGCGGGCAGCCCAGGAACCTCCGAAACAAAAGGGCTCCCTGAGGCTCGGAGGAGGTGGAGGTGCCTGCCCAGGTGGCCTGGCGGCCCAGAGGGCGGTGTTATCAACGCCCACCTGTGCGGAAGTCGCGTCGGCAGCCGGGGGGCTTATCTCTGCCGGACTGCAGACAGGGCCGCAGCCTGGCTCCGGGACAGGATGAACATGTCATCTCCTCACGGTGTTTTCCAGAGCTGGAGGGCGGGGCTCACCTTCTCCTTTCCCACCCCTCCCCACAGTCCCATCCGAGCTGTGGGCAGGGGCTGGTCCTCCTGTGTGCCCAGCTTGGGGGGTGGGTGCGGACTGAGTGTGAGATGTCCCTCCCGGGTGCACTGCAGCCTCAGAAAGGACCGTGGGATCCCAGGCAGGCAGAGCCCGGGGTGCCTCTTCTCCAGCCTGGGGCTCCCCTCCCCCTTGCTCTGGTTTTGAGCTCCACAGACACAGCCAGCAGTTAGGACATCCTGCCGGATGGAGCCCCCTCCTCTTCCATGGGCTTCCCCTGGCGCCGAAGGGGAACTGCTCCCACCGCGGCAGAGGGGTCTCCTGGGGTGCAGAGACTTGGGGCAAAGGTGCGGGGGGGGGGGGGGGGTGTCACATCAGAAGATCGCCTCGGAGAAGGCCCAGAGACGCCTCCTCCAGCACTGTCCTCGCCCGGGGCTGACGGGGAGCAGGGGCACAGATTGATTGGGAAGGGAGTTGCCCAAAGCGATAAGGAGGTGGGTGTTAGCCTTGGGCTTTGTCCCCGCTGGAGGCAGGAGGCTGGCAAAGGGAAAGAGGATGTGGTGACGCGGTGACGGGAAGGGTGAGGAGGGGGCTTACGGAAGTGGTCCAGAAAGTTCTGTGGGTGTGTGGAGCCTGGCTAGGGAGTGGGGAGGCAAGGACACAGCGGGAGAGACTATGAGGGGCTGGGAGTCTGGGCTCAGAAAAGAAAAGCCACACGGTCCCTGCTGGAGCAGAGGATAAAGATGGCAATGGCCACATAATTTTAACACTGATGACAGACGTGAGGTGAAATGGCCCACTGGCTCTGAATGAAGCTGGCTGCTGGACTGCATGTGGCTAGGGTGATAACACAGATAAAGATAGATAGAGATACAGATCTATAGAATCAGATATAGGGGACACATGCAGATACAGATCTGTAGATACAGATATAGGGTGATATATATAGGCACAGCCATAGATGGATCTCACTCTATATGACAATGGTAGGTTATTAGGGTGGGGGAGGGTCTCTTCTTGATCACACTTGGTGCAGGGTCTGCTGAGGGTGAGGGCTCCTGGAAAGGGGCACAGTATCCCTTTGGTGCCTCTTGCTTGGGCACCATCGCTTTGGGAGCCCATGCCTCAAGCCAGCCTGGGTCTCAGAGCAGCAAGGGGGTGCCTCACGGTCTTGGACCCAGGATTACAGATGGAGGTTCTGGTCCTGGCTGTGGGGCTGGGCCTGGCCCCAGCTGCTGAAAGGGCTTCACTGTGACTTAAGACTCTGTACCCGGAGGCGTCCTGGGCCCAGGACACTCAGTGACGGGGTGGGCGGGAGGGACAGGGGCATCCCGACAGGCTGCAGCGGGCTCCTCTCCCCTGGGGGCCAGGATCAATACCCACTCAAGCAGGTGCAAGTCAGGGGTGGCGGTAGTCATGGTGAGGGTGGCAGGGATGGGCACAAGGGCCCCACAGTAATGACAGTGTTGGCTCTAAGAACTACAACTGCTTTACCTCGGGACCTTCCCAGAATGTGCATCATCTCACTGAACCACAGCCCTTCCCTTTGAGGGGGCTGCTATCTTTATCCTCAGTTTACAGACGGGAAAGTAGGGGCCCTGCAACATAAGGCCACTTGCCCAGGTCACATAGTTAGTCGGGGGAGGAGGGGGGCTGGGGGACGGTGACACAGGTGATTCCACAGCCACTGAAGCTGGGAGGCTGTTGGGCTCTGAGAGGCTCTGGGTCCATTGCCATCAGTGTCTGCACCTTTTCTTTCCTGCTCTGCCCCCTCTCTTAGTCCCGCTGCCTTCAGCTCACTCTGATCCCCACGTGTGACCAGGAGGGACCGGCCCACCTCGTTCTTCAGAGCCAGGCTGCTTTCTGGAGGAGGGTAGAGTCTGGTCCCCCCCAGGGACCAGGAGATCTTAGATTAGCTGCCCTCCCTTTTGTCCATTCAGCTGTGGGGGCAGGTCAGGGTATGAGGTGAGAGCTTGCGTGGGTAGGCATCCCAAGGTTTCCATGGCCTCAGCTGGCTCAGAGATGGCTTCGTAGTGGAGGCAGGGCAGGGTGGAGCATGGCTGAAGGGGGGAGGCTCCTAGAGGGTCTGGATGTGGGCGTGGCCAGCGTGGGGTCTGGGGCAGCAGGGACCCTGGAGGAGATGGCGTGTCTTACGAGCTCTGCCCCCTAGGCCTACAGAATGACGAGGATCTACAGGCGCTGCTGAAGGGCACCCAGCTCCTGAAGGTGAAGTCCAACTCATGGCGGCGCGAGCGCTTCTACAAGCTGCAGGAGGACTGCAAGACCATCTGGCAGGAGTCCCGCAAGGTCATGCGAAGCCCCGAGTCCCAGCTGTGTGAGTGCCCCGGGCCGTGGGGGAGGAGGCAGCGTGTGTAGCCCAGGCTTGGAGGGGGGCACTGGTGCTGGCTAGGGGTGGAGGTCCATCACGGACCAGGACCACAGATAGGGAAACTGAGTCCCAGCCTGGTGGGGCATAGGCCCATCATGCAATCGGGACCAGATATGGGGACACTGCAGCTAGCCAGAGTCTGGGGGAGGAGGCAGTGAAAACTGCGTTCTGGACTGGGCTGGAGAGCGCGGTCATGGACCCAGAACTACAGATGGAGATGCAGATGCTGAAGGCTCCTGGGGGTAAGGGGCACGTAGCCATGACCACAGGTGGGGAAAGCAGGTTCCGAGGAGGGAGGGCGCTGGAGTGTTGTGTGAACGCATAGGTATACGCCCAGGCAGTTGTGGGTGGACTGGACTCCAGGTGCGGTTGGTGAGGCCAAAGCCAGCCCGAATTTGGAGCAGATAGAGCCCGGTCAGGATGTGAGGTGGGGCCTGAAGGAGGCAGCCCTTCCCTAGGACTGGGGCCATCGCAGGGAGATGGGGCAGAGCGGGGCTAGGACACAACGAGAGAGGCCTCAGCAGGGTAGCTCCCTCAAGGGCATGAGTCCGAGGGCTTTCCAGAAGCTTCGGAAATGGCCCAGGAACCCAAGGCTCGGGCTTGCAAATGCAGAGCGTCCCCTCCGAGGCCTTGGCGGGAAACTCTGATGACGGCTAACACAGAATGCCCCAAAGTCTCTGTCAAATGCGAGGTCTACGCTGCACCTCTATAGGGTGGGGAAATCTCAGACCAAGGCTGTCCCAAGGACCATGCTGATGGGCATGTCCTCTATCTGGGCTGTCTGTCACAGCTGCCACCGGCCACCTGTGGCCACTGAGCACGTGAAATGTGGCTGGTGTGACCGAGGAACGGAACGTTTCACTTGGTTGAATCTTAATGACTTTCTATGTAAATGACCACAGGCGGTTGGTGGCTGCTCTACGGGCCAGTGCAGCTGGGTTTCTCACAGCCCAGACCTCAGGAAATCCCTCCCGCATTCACCTGCCTTCGGCCGTTTGGGGTCAGTCAGGGTCAGCACACTGGCAGGTGTAGAGGGAATGAGGTCAGACACAGGTGACAGGCCCCCAGGTAGGAGCAGGAGGGTCACAGGAGGAAGGGGCGGGTCAGCCCACAGAAGGTAACTCAGGAAGGACACTGGGCGGAAGCATAAGGAGGCATGGCCTGCTGACCTGTGGTCTAAGGAGCCAGAGGTGAGACAGGACAGGAGCAGGGGCAGTTGGGGGGAGCTGGGCGGGGGCCCTGAGGCTGTGGGCCAGGGCAGGGTCTGAGAGGGATGGAGACTGAAGCGCTCTCAGAAAACCACTCTCGGCGCACGTCCGCCACTCAGCACTGGAGTGACCCTGACCTTGCCTCTGGGGCACCAGCCAGGCTTCTCCACAGGCCTCTGCCCTGATACGGAGTTTCCTGCTAGATGCTGGTGGGTGGCGGCTCCGTGGGAACGGGGCATCTTACGCTCTGAACCCTGGGGGTTCCTGGGAGCCCAGCAGCCAGTCCCTCTGAATGGTTCCCAGTGCGTGCCTCCCGCCTGGCGGGGCTGGGCGTGGGGGTGGCCGCAGAGTAGAGACTCTGGCCTTTCCAGATCTGCCCTGGCGGGGTGAGACCCTCCTGCTGGGATGGCGATGAGCAGGGGGCAGGATAGGATTCCAGGCAGGAGACCCAGGGTGAGCAAGAAGCAGGGCGAGGCTGAGGACGGGACATGAGTGAGGGGGCTGCAGGGGTGACAGGTCCAGGGTCGGGTGTCGGGTGTGGCTAGGTGAGGACAGTGGCCCCGGAGGCTCCCTTCCATGTCAGAGCCACTGAGGCAGGCCTTGGGCTGTGCTTGCCTGCTGGCTGCTTCCCTGCTGAGGGTGAGACTGCTGTCCTCAACAGTACTCTATCCGCAGGGACTCTGAGGCCAGGTGAGGGAGTAGGGGTTCTCTCTGCCTCTGCTCCCCGATCCCTAAGTCTCCCTTGATTCTGTCACTAGTCCCCTGCTCCCCACCCCCACATCTACACACACACACACACACCCCACTCTGGTTCCCAGGGGCAGGCAGGCATTATCAGCACTGGAGGCATCTGGACTTTCTCTCTGGTGCGGGAGGGGGTGCTGGCCCGGGAGCTCCAGGGCTCAGGCTTCCTGTTTGCACTCCAGCCTGGGGCAGGGGCAGCTGGAGTGGGGCCTAGCAGGGCACAGGAGGCTCTGGGCACAGGGATTAAGCAGGGATATCCCCTGAACCTCAGATGGCCCAGGGCTCACGTGTCCCACTTCCCAGAGCCTGCTGCCCAGGCTGGGCCCATGGCACACACATGGGGCTAGGAGACTCCGGGGCGTTCGCGTGTGTGCGGGCACCAGGGGGGACAAGCGGCTTTCAGCTAGAGCTGGTCTCGGACCCAGAACAGATGGAGGAGGATGGCTCAGGATGGGGGTAGGGAAGGCAGAGCGTCTGGGGGGATTGGCTCCCAGCCAGATCAGGGAAGTTACAGCGGGGGGGTTAGGGAGGGTAGGCAGGGCCTTGCTGCCCCCTGAAGCTGGGAGGGCTGTAGGGCCCTTCGCCTGGCTCATAATGGCAGCAGGATGTCATCTCTCAGACGCCCAGCGTGCGTGCTCCGGTCTGCCTCTTGGGATCCTGGAAGGCAGAGCCCTCTTGACCCAGGGGTTCCCTCAGTTCTGGACACAGGGGTTCCCTGAGTTCTTGCACCCTCCTGGCCCAGGGGTTCCCTGAGTTCTGAACACAAACAGACCCAAATGGGGTATGGTCCTCTTTACCCTCTGACACAGCACCTTTCCCTCTGTCCGGGCCCCCAGACCCCAAGGTCACAGCTGGAGGCTCACGCAACAGTCTGAGGGAAGAACGGGTCCAAAGCCAGTCCGATCAGGAGGGAGTGTAGCCTCCTCTCGGTCACAGGCCCCCAAACTCCAAAATGGTCTGCCCTGCCCCGATCCTATAGCACGGAAACAATGGGGCCTGGGGTCCAAGGCCTACCCACCCTGAAGTCAGCCCCGCTCTTTGCGTTCACTCTGCCCACTACAGCTGTGTCTCACATTCCTTCTCCGCCTCAGTCTCTGCCTTCCTTCCTCCTTCCCCCGCTGTTGTCTGTCCTCCTGCCGGCTCCTTTCTCTCTGCATCCATGCCTGAGCTCCAGCCGCGCCTCTGTCTCTGAACGGTGGCCTCCACCACGTCAGGGCAGGGGTGGCCTCATGCTTCTCTCTGCCCCCATCGCCTTCTTACAGTCTCCATCGAGGACATTCAGGAGGTGCGGATGGGACACCGCACCGAGGGCCTGGAGAAGTTTGCCCGGGACGTGCCCGAGGACCGCTGCTTCTCCATCGTCTTTAAAAACCAGCGAAACACACTTGACCTCATCGCCTCCTCCCCAGCGGACGCCCAGCACTGGGTGCAGGGGCTGCGCAAGATCATCCACCACTCAGGCTCCATGGACCAGCAGCAGAAGCTGCAGCAGTATCCTTCTGGTGGCGCTGGGACCAGGCCCAGTCTGCGGATTCTGGCTGTAGTGGTCCCCAGGCCAGCCTGGGCATGGGAGGTGCCCAGCTCGGACCATCATACCAAAATAGCACAAATTCGGTTGAACAACAGAAATACCTTTTCTCACAGTTCTGGAGGCTGGAAGTCCGGGATCAGGGGGCCAGCATGGTTGGGTTCTGGTGAGAGCTCTTCTCCTAGCTTCTGGATGGACGCCTTCTTTCCCTCTATGTCCTCCGATGGCACAGAGAGGGAGAGAGAAAGAGAGAGAGAGAGAGAGCAAGTTTTCTGGTGTCTCTTTTTAGAAGGACACTAATCCCATCACGAGGGCCCCACCTCACGACCTCATCTAAACCTCCCAAGCCCCCATCTTCAAATACCATCATATTGTGGGGTAGGGCTTCCATACACACATTTTGGGGCAACACAATTCAATCCCTAGAAGAAGGGAATCATGGGGAGGCCTCTGGAAGCCCTTTTTGGTACACTCTGACCCAAGCACCAGAGAGCTATGGGGCCCCCCATGTCCCTCCTTCCTGTCTGTAACCAGCACAAAGTTGGGAAGCTGTGGGAGACCTGGTCTCTGGCATTTAAATCATCTATTTCTTTTATTTATTTATTTATTTATTTATTTATTTATTTTTATATTTTATTGATTTTGTACAGAGAGGAAGGGAGAGAGATAGAGAGTTAGAAACATCGATGAGAGAGAGTCATCAATCAACTGCCTCTTGCACACCCCCTACTGGGGATATGCCCGCAACCAAGGTACATGCTCTTGACCAGAATCGAACTCGGGACCCTTCATTCCCCAAGCCGACGCTCTATCCATTGAGCCAAACCGGTTTCGGCTAAATCATCTATTTCTCAAGGTCAAGGCCGAGGGGAGAGAGGATAGAGGTAAGAGAGACGTGGGGGTTAAGTGTCCCATCCCGACAACATATGATCAGTGGCTTGACATCTGCTGTTTCCTATAAAGTAAGCCCCAAGTGCTTTAGTCAAGTTGGCTAACGCTTATATGTCGAAAACAAGAGGACAAAGCTTATTAATATTAACAGAGTTATCCCTGAGGCTATGGGGGATTTGTTTACTTTTCTTTATTTTCTAAATGATCTACAATAAATCCTTTCACAGAAAGAAAATAATTAGTTTTAAAATCGGAAAGGGTTCAAAGGCATCCAATAGGAAAAAGATCCCGTTCGAGGATGTACCATTTCCACTCAAGAGGCCACCGGGCCTTGCCCCTGGGATTCAGATTCCAGTAAGTGGGGCCTACAGGGAGCTGTGCCTACTGGTACAGTGGCTTCCGTGAGCCTGGGCCCAGGAGCTGATGTTGAAACAGGGCTCTGGCTAGGGCTCTGAGGGCACGCGGGCTCCTGGGTTCTTTCCTTACTTCGTGCCCAGCTGGATTCACTCCTGCTTGCGGAAAGCTGACAAAAACAAGGATAACAAGATGAGCTTCAAGGAACTGCAGAACTTCCTGAAGGAGCTCAACATCCAGGTGGATGACAGCTATGCCCGCAAGATCTTCAGGGTGAGGCAGGAGGGGGCCCTGGCAGGAGGGTCCTTGGCCCTCGGCCAGGGCCAGCTCTGAGCCCGCCCACGGGGCTGTCCTGGCTTTGCAGGAATGTGACCACTCCCAGACAGACTCCTTGGAGGACGAGGAGATCGAGGCCTTCTACAAGATGCTGACCCAGCGGAAGGAGATCGACCGCACCTTCGAGGAGGCCGCAGGCTCGGGGCAGACGCTGTCCGTGGATCAGTTAGTGACCTTCCTGCGGCACCAGCAGCGGGAGGAGGCGGCCGGGCCTGCACTGGCCCTCTCCCTCATTGAGCGCTACGAGCCCAACGAGACTGGTGAGGGCCACACCAGGCTGGGAGACCCCTGGGGACACTGCAGCCCAAAATAGAGAGCCGTACGAACATGCGTGCGCATATGTGCGCGCTCAGGCACCTCAGGACCCGGCCAGTATTTGCGGGCCCATGAAAGCAGGCAGGTGGCAGACAGGATCACTTCCTGCCTCAGTTCCTCCTTCAAGGAGTTTTGAGGAGCACTGGAAAGAGGGAGAGGAGGCTGGGAAAGCAAGCACTGTCCCTGCTTCCCTTTTGATGCCTATCCTGGGCCCACCTTGGAGACCCGGCCCTGTCCGGGAGGGGGCTCCCGTGTGCAGGCACAGAGCTGGAGGAGGTCAGTGCCGCCCTCAAGGGCCTCACAGTGTGGGGGACAGAACAGGAGAAGACAGGGCCCCGGGCGGTGGCTGGCCGGTGGAGGGCTCTGACTGGTCCCCGCCTCCCTCCCAGCCAAGGCCCAGCGGCAGATGACCAAGGACGGCTTCCTCATGTATCTGCTCTCGGCCGACGGCAGCGCCTTCAACCTGGCGCACCGGCGGGTCTACCAGGACATGGGCCAGCCGCTCAGCCACTACCTGGTGTCCTCCTCCCACAACACCTACCTGCTGGAGGACCAGATCACCGGGCCCAGCAGCACCGAAGCCTACATCCGGTGGGGCAGCCCGTGGAGGCCGGGGGGCGGGGCTCCGGCGGGGGCGGGGCTCATGCGGGGGCGGGGCTCTGGTGGGGCGGGGCTCCGGCGGGGGCGGGGCTCCGGCGGGGGCGGGGTCCTAGCGCCACTCCCTCTACAGGGCGCTGTGCAAAGGCTGCCGCTGCCTGGAACTGGACTGCTGGGACGGACCCAACCAGGAGCCCATCATCTACCACGGCTACACCTTCACCTCCAAGATCCTCTTTTGCGATGTGCTCCGAGCCATTCGGGACTACGCCTTCAAGGTGGCCACACTCCTGGGGGGGGTGAGGAGGGGAAGGCCAGGGGTGGCCGACCCCTCCTAATCTGGTTTGGACCGCCAGGCATCCCCCTACCCCGTCATCCTGTCCCTGGAGAACCACTGCAGCCTGGAGCAGCAGCGCGTGATGGCGCGACATCTGAGCACGACTCTGGGCTCCATGCTGCTGGACCGGCCGCTGGAAGGGGTTACCAACAGCCTCCCATCCCCTGAGGTGCACAGTGGGGCCTGGGGGTGCCCAGAGGAGAGGGCAGGGGGACTGGCTGGGACGCCAGCCGGGTCTTGACCAGCTGCCCCTGCATCCGTAGCAACTGAAGGGGAAGATCTTGCTGAAGGGAAAGAAGCTAGGGGGGCTCCTGCCCCCCAGCGGGGAAGGGGGCCCTGAGGCCATTGTCGTGTCTGATGAGGATGAGGCAGCCGAGATGGAGGATGAGGCCGTGAGGAGCCGAGTGCAGCACAAGCCCAAGGTTCGAGGGGAAGCTGTGGGGGGAGGGCAGCCCTGGGCCTCCCCCATCCTCACCCCCCCCCATCACCCGGTGGGAGGGGTGCCTTGTCTCCATTCTCGGTGGCTGCCACTCAGACCCTCTGCCCCCTCTCTGTGTCTGTCTCCCCTCTCTGTCTCTCTGTCTGGGTCTCTGGCTCTCTCAGTGTCCACCTGCCCCCACCTCTGACTCTAACCCGGGCCTCCCCGTGGCCCCCAGGAGGACAAGCTCAGGCTAGTGAAGGAGCTCTCTGACATGGTCATTTACTGTAAGAGCGTCCACTTCCTGGGCTTCCCCGGCCCAGGCAGCCCGGGGCAGGCTTTCTATGAGATGGCATCCTTCTCCGAGAACCGCATCCTCCGACTGCTCCAAGAATCAGGTGAGCCCCGGCGCTGCACCCTGAGGTGCTGCCCCCGTCTGACTATCCTGGCTGGCCAGAGCCGACCTGGCTCCCCCCTTCTCCCCCGCCGCTGCCTTTGAACAGAGTTAGCACTCCCAGCTGTTACCGGCGGAGCTGCGGGGAGGGACTCAGGCACACCTGAGGCTTCCGTGCCTGACCACCCTCTACCCCCCTCAGGAAACAGCCTCGTCCGCCACAATGTGAATCACCTGAGCAGGATCTACCCTGCGGGGTGGAGAACCGACTCCTCCAACTACAACCCCGTGGAGATGTGGAACGGGGGCTGCCAGATCGGTACCCGCTGGCTGGGCCAGGAGCGGGCTGGGCTGGGGGTTTCCGTGCGGAGGGCCAGGGACCAGGAGGCCGTGGGGACCTAGGCAGGGCCAGGTGCCGTGGTGTGTGGGCTCAGGAGCTAGTGACCTCGGTTGGGAACTACCCCCCTACCAGCGAGACAGGGTCTGAAGTCCCATTGTTAGTGGAGTCCTGGCCCTGGCGATGGGCTAGGAGGTGGGTACGGAGGGTCGGTTAGGGGAGCAGGAGGCCCTGCAGTGATGCTGGCCCCGGCTGCTGCCTCACCACGCGACTCAGAGGCCTCCTTGTGCCCCAAGGAGGCTAGGCTCCAGGGCCCCTGAGGCCAGCCCACAGCCTGAGCCTGCTCTGTCCTCCCTGCAGTGGCCTTGAACTTCCAGACGCCTGGGCCCGAGATGGACGTGTACCAGGGCCGCTTCCAGGACAACGGGGCCTGCGGGTACGTGCTGAAGCCCGTCTTCCTACGGGACCCCAACTCCGCCTTCAACCCGCGCAACCCGGCTCAGGGGCCCTGGTGGGCTCGGAAGCGGCTCAACATCCGGGTACGGCCGGCCAGAGATGGGCCAGGGGCTGCCCCTGTGCCACCCCTCCCCCCCCCAGGCCCATCCCTGACGCCCCTCCCCTCCCCTCAGGTCATCACGGGGCAGCAGCTGCCCAAGGTCAACAAGAGCAAGAACTCGATCGTGGACCCCAAGGTGACGGTGGAGGTGCACGGTGTGGGCCGGGACATGGCCAGCCGCCAGACCGCCGTGGTCACCAACAACGGTGCGTGCCGGGGCGGGCCCAGGCCCAGCTGCTGCCCCCGCCGGCGTCCCGGCCGCTGACACGGCGCCTATGCCCCCAGGTTTCAACCCGTGGTGGGACACGGAGTTTGAGTTCGACGTGGCGGTGCCGGAGCTGGCCCTCGTGCGCTTCGTGGTGGAGGACTATGACGCCTCCTCCAAGAACGACTTCGTCGGCCAGAGCACCATCCCCCTCAACAGCCTCAAGCAGGGTGAGCGTGTGTGGAGGGGAGGGGAGAGGAGAGGAGGGGAGTGGGGGTGAGGCAGGGCCCGGCATCTCTTGGGCAGGAGTGGCTGTCTCTTGAATAAGGTGACCAGACGTCCCGCTTTTGGCGGGACTGTCCCGATTTTTAACAATTTGTCCTGGACGCGGGACAAATTGTTAAAAATCGAGGATGTCTGGTCACCTCGCCCTGGAAGCATCCTGTGGGAGTGACTGGAACTTTCCTCATGTGCTCCTCCCCACCCACTCCCCTGCCAGGATACCGCCACGTCCACCTCATGTCCAAGAACGGAGACCAGCACCCGTCCGCCACCCTCTTTGTGAAGGTGTCGCTGCAGGACTAGGCCTGGGAGTGGGCCCAGCCTCTATCCGTGGCCGAGGGGAGGGGAGGGGAGGCAGGGCGGCCGCTCCCGGCTTTGCCCTGAGAGCCAGGGGCCCGCACTGCCTTCAGCTCTGACACACTGTCTGTGCTGCTGCCTGTCCCGTGTCCGAGGAGCCGGTCTGGGCCCTGGATCTGTCCTCAGCTCCGCGAAGAACAACACTGCAGCCCTCTCCACCCTCTGGCCGGCCCCTGGCTGAGGGTTTTTATAAAAATCTTAAGACTACGTGCTGTGGCCTCTTTACCTGCACGCCAGCAAATTCCTGTAAGTGCGTGCATGTGTGTGTGTGTGTGTGTGTGTGTGTGTGTGTCAGTGTCAGAGCCCTGGAACCCCAGCATCTCACTCTCTCCCTGCCCACTCTCACACTGACCCAGGGCACTATCTGTTCCTCTGGGCAGGAGGGACCAAGAAACCCACCCCTTCAGCCCCACAGGCCCTTTCCCCAGAGGCGCACTGCTGAGTGACCCAGACGCACCACACCTGTGAGGGCCATGAGCTTTATTGATGGGGGGGCGCCCCCCTCGGGTCAGCTTGTGGGAGTTACCACGGGGCTCAGCCTTGTGAGGGCCCTGGCGGGGGCAGGGCCTGGGCTCAGAAGAAGCCCAGCTGCTTCTTCTCCTGCTGCTGCTTCCACTTGGCCATGCTGTAGAACTCCTCCTTGGACTTCCCGAAGACGTCTTTAAACTCAGAGTCTGAGAGATAGAACTGTGGGGGCGAGGGGGGGGGGGGGGAAGGGGGCCCAGGGAAGGATGGCCCCTGAGCCCAGAAGTCTGTGCTGCCCAGAGGCATCATCCCAGAGCTCAGGGCTCTCCTCCTCCATCTCTCTCTGCCCATTTTCCTGGACAGCCTGCCCCCCTGCCCACCCTCAGGAGGTCACCCCGGGTGCCTCCAGCTCAGTTTTAGGTGTATTAGGGCTGGGGCAGCGAGTGGAGGGGGTCTCGGGCACCTACCTCCTTTTGGGCCGGGTCCACGCCCTCTGGCAGGTCCTTGGCAGACTGGTGCATCAGCTGCTTGCGGGACAGGCAGCCGTTGACCATGGGTTTGGAACTGCTTTGGTAGCTGTTGGTGCTGGTGCTGGTGCTGCTGCTGCTGCTGCTGGTGCTGCTGCTGGTGCTGGTGCTGCTGCCACCTGCCTTGGGGCCCAGCTCCAGCTCTTTCTCTGCCCTGTCCTGGGGGCCCTTGTGGGCCTGCAGGGCCAAGGAGCTTGGCCTGCTGTTGGTTGGCCATCTTGACAGCCGGAAGTTGTTGATCTCCTGTCCATAGAGGGGACTCAGGCTGGGGACGGTGGGGGATCGGCTCCCACGGGGAGGCCACGCTAAGCCTACTGGCCCTCTTGCCCCCAGCTGCAGCCCTTGCCACCTTCTGGAGCCTGGCTCCTCCCTTTCCCATGGCGCCCATCAGGACTGTGCTAGCTGAGTGCAGCCCCCGGGGGAGGCCTGGGAGGCTCCGTACTCACCGCTGTGATCTCAGCGATGACAGACTCTACTTCCAGGCTGCCCTCCACCAGCTCCCTGTGGGACTGGTTGTTCTGGGGGCGAGAATCAGAGCGGGGGTGAGGGGGAAGGGCACCCAGGGGGCCTGAGGACAAGACCCGGCCTTCCCAACCCACAGGCAGGGCAATGCCTCCCCTCCCTCTGCACAGGGCGAGCTCCCCTCCCCCGGGTTAGGGCGGGGCTCGGGGTTCAGACCTCGCTCTCAGTCCACTTGTAGGGGTCCCACGTGAGGAACCATCCGGTGAAGGTGGGGGGCTCGTGGCCCTGCTTGACCAGCATGATGGGCGAGGCCTGGCTGCGCCCCGCCGGGTGGGTCTTCAGGTACTCCAGGCCCCAGGCCACCGCCTCCTCCTTCTGCCTGCCCGCGGCCTCGCCCAGCCACAGGTACACCTGGCCACAGAGCGGGGGGAGGGGCTGCCAGAGCTGGCCGCGTCCTCTCCACCCCTGTCCATCGGATGGTCTCAGAGCCCCCCAGACACGTACCAGACACACAGCGGGCTGGCTGCCACAGCCACACACCCATACACACTCCAGAAGGTCACAAGCATATGTGCATACATGCATTCGATCCACACCTGTTTACTGAGTACCTATAGGGGATTCAACAGTGAGGGGGGGGAAAAACAGACAAAAAATCCTTGCCCTTGCCAGAGCTTTCATTTTACTGAGGAGATAGGAAACTATGTAATATATCAGAGAAAAATAAGGCAGGGAAAGAATGTCAGTATGGTGATGGTGGGAATAATGTAATTTTATGTTTTTAAAATATATTTTATTGATTTTTTTTTTTTTTTTTACAGAGAAGAAGAGAGAGTGATAGAGAGTTAGAAACATCGATGAGAGAGAGTCGTCGATCAGCTGCCTCTTGCACATTCCCTACTGGGGACGTGCCCGCAACCAAGGTCCATGCCCTTGACCAGAATCGAACCTGGGACCTTTCAGTCCGCAGGCTGACACTCTATCCACTGAGCCAAATCGATTTTGGCTAAATAATGTAATTTTAAATTAAAGTCAGAGGGAGCCTTACTGAGAGGATGACATTGGAATGAAGATCCCGGGCGAGGGAGCAAGTCCCATCTGGGGAGGAAGTGTAACGGGAAGAAAGGACCAGCGTCAAGGCCTGAGTCCTCCCGGCCTCGTGGAGGAGCAGCCCAGAAGGCATCACGGCCCAAGAGGGGCAGGCCCGGCGAGAGTGGGGTCGCCAGGCCACGCAGGGCTGTGGCAGGGGCTTTGGCTTTGCTCGGAGTGACATGGAGGTCTACAGGCCTCATCACATTCACAGACGGTCATAGACAGTGACCGACAGACACACACACACACAGGATCACAGCTACACAGACAGTTATCCATTGCTACAGTCAGACGGCAAGTCACAGCCACACACCGTCACCCATGGTCACACGCAGTTGTGCATAAAAACAGCCGCACTCGAGCCGAAACCGGTTTGGCTCAATGGATAGAGCGTGGGCCTGTGGACTGAAAGGTCTCAGGTTCGGTTCCGGTCAAGGGCATGGACCTTGGTTGCAGGCACATCCCCAGTAGTGGGTATGCAAGAGGCAGCTGATCGATGATTCTCTCTCATCGATGTTTCTAACTCTCTATCACTCTCTCTTCCTCTCTGTAAAAAAATCAATAAAAATACATTAAAAACAACAACAACAACAAAAAAACCAACCGCACTCGATTACACAGTCGCACACCTCCAACCTGAAAAACACAGGGAGCCCAAAATGAGATTGCATATGGCCACACAGAAATTAACCACGCAAACACAGTCACTCAGAACAACAATGAGGTGCCACCTCACACCTGTCAGGATGGCTATCATCAACAAATCAACAAATGACAAGTGCTGGTGAGGATGCGGAGAAAAAGGAACCCTCGTGCACTGCTGGTGGGAATGCAGACTGGTGCAGCCATTGTGGAAAATAGTATGACGTCTGCTCAAAAATTTAAAAATGGAACTGCCTTTTGACCCAGTAATACCACTTCTACGAATATATCCCAAGAAAACATCAATCAGAAAGGATATATGCACCCCTATGTTCATAGCAGCACAATTCACCAAGGCTAAGATTTGGAAACAGCCTAAGTGCCCACCATGGTACATCTCTCAATGGAATACTACGCTGCTATAAAAAGAAGGAATTCTTACCATTTGCAGCAGCATGGATGGACCTGGAGAGCATTATGCTAAGCAAAACAAGCCGGACAGTGAAAGAAAAATACTACATGATCTCACTCATTTTTGGAAAATAAACATTATAACCTGATGAACAAAAAGCTAGATACAGAGGCAGAGAAGCATCAAACAGACTGTCAAACTACAGCGGGAAGGCTGGGGAGTTTTGGAGGGGGCGGTAAGAGATCAACCAAAGGACATGTATGCATGCATATAAGCATAACCAGTGAACGCAAGACACTGGGGGGTGGGGTGAGAGCATGTGCTGGGATAGGGGAGGCCGGAGGAAGGTCAACGGGAAAAAAAAGGGGACATATGTACTACTATTTGGAATATTTTAAACAATAAAAAAAATGCTAAAAAAAAATAGTCACACCCACGGCCAGTGGGCCTCCTAAGCGTATAGTCTCAGCTGTGGCCCGTCTGGCCAGTTACAGGCAGTAAGGTGACCACACAGCCATTCCGTACAGCCACACACACAAAGGCAAATGCATCTCACATTCACACATGCTCAGTCATTCAATTGACAGATGCTCACTTGACATGGATACATGTGAGCCCCAGGCAGTCAGTCACCTGGAGCCAGATACCACGTGAAGGCAGGAGGGAGTTGCATAGAACCACAAAGCCAGTCATCGCCACACACGCGTTCCAGACCACAGTCAGAGTCTCCCAGAGGCTGACGGTGACAGTCACCCAGGGCCTCACTCGGTGTCACAGCTGCACAGACTCACCTGCAGCCTTACATGCATTCACCTGGCGAGGGACACACAAAGACACGCTCACGCCCAGTTACGCAGATACAGACACCCCCTAGGAGGGCGGGGTTCGCTGTCTCACCTCGTGCCAGGCGTCTAGCAGCATGACGTCATACTTGTCCAGGTCCTCTTGGCCGAAGAACACCATTTCCATGAGGACCAGGTGGTCATGCTGGCTGGAGCACTCAAAGAGCCGCGGCTGCAAGCCGGAGACTTCCTCGGGGAGGCTGGCCAGTGTGGGCACAGGCTGTGAGGGGCACGGCCTGGGCCGAGCTGGCCTTCAGCACAGGGGGGCGCCCACCCCGGGGGCTGGCCCTCCTCGGAGCCCACCCGCCCTGCTCTTCTCTGGGCCTCCTGTCCCAGTCTGTCAGCGGAGAGAGCAGATGGGGTGATTTGTCTAGCTCCGGCCAGCTGTGGCCCAAGCTGTGCCAGGAAGTTTCCCAGGAGTGGGCGCCAGAAAGGGACCCTGGCTTCGTGGGGTGGCCAGAGCCGGAGCCCTACTGTCCTTGGCGGATAGGAGCCCCTGGTCCC